ACGACGACGACGACGACGACGACGACGACGACGACGACGACGACGACGACGACGACGACGACGACGACGACGACGGACGGGGGCTCTGGCCTCGAAGGGCGGGACCTCGGGCTGGAGGCCCTTCTTGTCCTTCTTCGGCGGCGGCGCGCGCCACCGCAGGCACTTCGCCTCGCGAGCGCCGCGGGCCCGGCAGCCCGCCCCAGAGGGAGACTCCCCTCCTTCGGCGGTGAGCACGGCTTTTTTTTTTTCACAGTGCACCGCTGACGAGCAGGCTCCAAGGGCAAAGAGTTTGCCTGGGACTGGAGGCCGGGGCAGAAAACTTACAGATCGGGCCACGCACCGAGCTTCCTGGACGGCGGCAGACCTTTACACAGCCGCTGCAAGACAACGAGGCGAGCCTGCGTGAAGGCATGAGGACCGAACTCGTCCACTGGGCACCGTTCCTTCAAGGAAACGAGCACGGGCAGAGACGTCAACCTCTGGGCCTGTTGGGGCGGGCGGGGCCCCCCGAAGATGCCACGCGAGGAGCCCTGAGCCAGACCAGGCTGCCATCCTTTTCTGAGCAGGGACCGGCCGTCCCGGCACTCCTGTAGTCCTGCCACGGAATGTTCCTAGACCCCCAAAAATGCTCCAAGACCAAAATCAATGCTCTTAGAACATAAGCCTCATGCGGCTATGGGCACGCCGTGGCGCTTCGCCACTGCTTCACTTTTGGGGAGGCGGAGGTTGGCATCCGCCTGTCTCCGCGGGCCGTCGGCCGCCTTCCGCCGAGGAAGACACGTCGGCCTCTGGGCTCCTCGAGGGCGAGGCCCCTGTCGGGCGTTGGCAGAACTGGGTTTAGCGGGACCTGGTCTAGTGATCTGTACTGTGGACGCCCCCCCCCCCCGTCCCATTCCACTAACCGTAATGACCGTCACCCGAAAAAAACACCAGCTACGGCAGACCCAGTTCAGTGATTCCAATCCATAGTTTGGGCTTCGGGGCCCAATCACTAACCGGCTCCCCGTAACCGGGGTCCTGGCTACACCCGACCCCTCTGAAGCGACTCACATTCGGTGGCGCGCTCCTGCTCCTGCTCCTGCTCCTGCTCCTGCTCCTTCTCCTCCTCCTCCTCCTCCTCCTCCTCGTCCCTCCTCGTCCTCCTCCTCCTCCTCCTCCTCCTCCTCCTCCTCCTCCTCCTCCTCCTTCTCTTCCTCCTCCTCCTCCTCCTCCTCCTCCTTCTCCTCCTCCTCCTCAGGGGGGGGGGAAGTGAGGAGGAGAAGGCCTTCTCGGAAGGCTCCGGAGCCCCCCGGCCTTCGGAGCAGCTTTTTGTCAGGACCTCCCCCGAAGACACGGAGCATGCCACTGAAGGCCACAGAGGGTTTCTGGGAGGCCCCGCCGCCTTCTGAGAGGGCCTTCTCCTCCTCACTTCCCCCCCCTCGCTCGCCGCCGGCTCTTCCTGCGAGGTGTTGCCCCCGACTCCTGAAGTCGAGCAGGCACGTTGCTACATCCGGCCGCCAGCGTGGGCCCCGAGCAGCAGAGGCTGGTGCACTGTGGGCGTGCGGGCCATGCGGTGCAGGCCCTGCTGCGCGAGCAGCGTGGCGCCGCGTGCGCGGTGCAGGCGGTCGTGGTGCCAGCTGTGCGGTGCAGGCGGTGCGCTGCAGGGCTGTGCGGTGCAGTGTCTGCGGCGCAAGCGCCCAGTTCTGCTGTGCACGCTGACCGCGCGCGGGGCGCCCACGAGGCGCCGACGGACGAGGCGCCCACGGGCGGGCGCCGTCACCGAAATCCGGGCACACCCACAACGAGGCAGCCGCGGCCAAGCACCCGCCGAAGAGTCGTCACACCCGTCCAAGTACTTGGCGACACAGGTAAGCGACCCCCCAAAAGTGCAGCTTGGGGAACCACAGGTTACAGGCCGCTTGACGACACAAGGGCACACGCAGCAAATACCCCTAGAAAAACGAGTCGGAATCCAAGACGTACTTCTCCGAGGCCTTCTGGTGGCCTGCAGGAGCATCTGAGGCCTCCGGGGACCTCCCGGGACGCGACGGGATCCGGGGCGGAATCACAGCTTTCCACCTCCTCCTCTCCTCCTCCTCCTCCTCCTCGTCCTCCTCCTCCTCGTCCTTCTCCTCCTCCTCCTCCTCCTCCTCCTCCTCCTCCTCCTCCTCTGCGCGGGAGAGAACGAGGTCTGGAGCACCCTGGCGACAGTCCAGCCCGATGGGGGTGGGGTGGGGAGCAGCCGCTGCCCCGTGGTGCCAAAACCACAGCGCAGAGCCCCGCGTCTCCTCCTCGTTCTCGCCCTCCTCCTCCTCCTCCTCCTCCTCCTCCTCCTCCTCGTCCTACTCCTCCTCCTCCCTCCTCCTCTTCTTCCTCCTCCTCCTCCTCCTTCTCCTCGTCTTCCTTCTTCTTTAGCGTCCTCCTAGATGAGGTCCTCCTAGATGAGGTCCGAATAGATGGGGTCGGGGGATCGCGCCGGATCGCCAGTGCACCGCCGATGCATCGGCGCCTACGGAATGGAGAACATCGGGCCCCACATCGAGCCGCATCGGCGATGCATCGACGATGCGCACGATCCTCCGACCCCGTCAACTCGGACCCCGCCTGGGACGCCTCGATTCTTCTTGAAGGCCTGAACGGGCACCAACATCAACACAGGTGTTTGCCTCAACAGGGGTTAGGTGATGCTCGACTCTGGTGTTGGTGGTATTAGTTCGGTCAGTTAAAAGGCCGAATATTACCACCATCACTGAGATCGGGGGCATCCTCCTCGGTGAAGACACGCCGCCGATCCTGGTTTTTGTGTCATTAAGGAACAAAAGCGCCACAACCATGACCTGTTGGCGCTCCGAGCGGCTCTCTTGAATCCGCGCCGGACCCCCCTCCCTGGCGCGCGGAGCGCGCCAGGGGTGGCGCCGCAGGCGCCGCCGGGGGGCCACAGCGCGGATCCAGGAAATCCGCGCGGAGCGCCAAAAGTTCATGTTTGCGGCGTTATGCTTCTTCTTCCATGCCAACCTCTAGGTCTCCGACTCCTTGCCCAACGTGTAGGGGCCCTGAGACACGCAAATAAATAGACACAAGTAACAATATCCCCATATTTCCCCCTATTTTCTTTGTTTTTCGGGGATCTTCAGACCCAGGTCAATCCAGTCCCGGGTCAGCAGGAAACCAAAAACTGCAATGCAGGAAAAACAACTGCAACGCAGGTCTTCGCAAACCCGGGTCAGCCAATAGGCGCGGCCGCCTCGCGGCCACGAGCGGATCGCGGACCCGGGTCAGCCTCGAGGGGGTCTTCGCAGGATCCTGCAGGATCTGGTGCACTGGCTGACCCCCGTCTGCATTGACCCCCGTCTCAAGGCTCCCAGGAGGAGGAGGAGGAGGAGGAGGAGGAGGAGGAGGAGGAGGAGGAGGAGGAGGAGGAGGAGAGGAGGAGGAGGAGGAGGGGGGGGGGAGAAGGAGAGGAGGAGGAGAGGAGGAGGAGGAGGAGGAGGAGCAGGAGCAGCAGCAGCAGGAGGAGGAGGAGGAGGAGGAGGAGGAGGAGGAGGAGGAGGACTTTTGCCCAACGTGCCCGCGCCACCGGCCTCGTGGCTCCACCCGAGCGCGGCCGCCGCCGGCGAGAAGTACGAGGCGATGCGGCCGGAGCTGCTGCCCTGGAGCAGCTCCTCCCCGTACCTCGGCGTGGGCGCTCCCGGCGCAGGGGCGGGGGCAGCGACGGGCTCGCCTCCTCCGCCCCTTCCCCCCCCTCCTCCTCCCGTCCTCTCCCTCCCCTTCCTTTCCCTCCCTCCTTCCCCTCCTCCCCCCTTCCCCTCCTCTCCTCCCTCCCCCCCCCCTCCCCTCCTTCCTTCCTCCCCCTCCCGCCACATCCCGCCCATCCCTCCCCCGCGTCTTTCGCCGCCTCGCTCCCTGCGGATGGGGCAGTGGGGATTTGGAGGATCGGGTCTTCACCGAGGTTTCCCTCCTTCGGCCCCACCCGCAGCAGCCATCCCACTGCTTGCGCTCCGGAAGGGGCCCCCCCACTCTGTCCTGAAGGTCGAGCTAGACTCAGCTGATCCGTCTTTGGCGCTCAGCGTCAATGAGCGTAACACTGGCTCCGCAAGAATGCTGGTTTCCTTGGAGAGCTCGCCCACGACATGCGTATGGCTTCGGATCGAAGCGTTTCCATGCTGGCTCGATACTCCGATGGCCATCGTTTCGAGACATCGGGCTCAGAACACGTGAAGACACAGGTGGTCACGCTGGGACCGTGAGGGCCCAAGGAATTGTAGAGGCAAGGATGCGAACCCCTAACGTTTGCGAACCCCAGCGGGGAGAGAAGAAATACGCCCTTGGAGTAGGAGGAGTCGGCCTGGCTGAGTCTCTGGCAGCCTTCGGAACGCACTGGGAAGAAGCGTTTGTTTCCAGAAGTGTTCGGAAGGTCAGGCCACAGGAGGAGAAGCAGAAGGAGGAAGGCATGGAGGCGAAGAAGACAAAACAGGGATCGGCATGAGAACCAGGAGTCGTCCGAAGCGACTCAGGGCCTGCACTATTTGGGGGAGGACGGGTCGAGCGCACCTCAGGCCCCGTCCAGGAAACCTCCATGAGCTGCAGCCGGCCCGCATCATGAGGATGCGCGGCAAGGGTGCAGGGGTCCTGGACGCCCACCTCCGGAGCCTCTCGAGCGGGGCGAAGGCCAACGAAAGTGGCCAAGGATGGACCGAGGAGGCAAGGGTGCACAGGGTACCCTTGCGAAGGCTGCCCAGCCTTACTATGCGGGTTCACTGCAGGTGCGAAGAGGGGTGCCCGTCGAGGGATGCCCGGTGCCTGCCGCCTGGGCGCCGGTCCCTGGCACAGCGGCGGGCAGGGCGGGGGGGGGGCTCCAGAAGGCAGGGGGACCTCCTCCTCCTCCTCCTCCTCCTCCTCCTCATCATCATCATCCTCATCATCATCATCTTCCATCCTCTTCTAGTCTCTTCCTGAGTCAAGCAAGTTCCTCGTTCCCCATGCCCTTCCTCGTCCTTCTACTCCTCCTCCTCCTCCTCCTCCTCCTCCTCCTCCTCCTCCTCCTCCTCCTCCCCTCCTCCTCCTCCTCCTCCTCCTAATCTTCCGTCCTTTCCCAACCTCCTCCTGAGTCTATCAAGTTCCTCGTTCCCCCGTTCCTTCCTCCTCCTCCTCTCCTCCTCCTCCTCCTCCCTCCCCTCCTCCTCCTCCTCTTCCGTCCTCCTCCGCCCCTCCTCCGCCCTCCCCCTCCCCCACCCTCCCCCCAGCCCCCCCCCCCCCCTCCTCACCACACGTCCTCCACTTCCCCCCCAGCCTCCCTTCCTCTCCTCCCCTCCCCGCGCCAGCTGACGCGCGCTTCGGCCGGCGACCGCGCGCCAAGGCGCGCCCAGGCGCGGGCCGCCCAACGTGCGCGGACGATCTGCAGGGCCGTACGTGCGCGCGGCCCGGCAAGAGCGTGCGAGGCGGCTGAGCCGCGCGCGGGGCGGCCAGGGTCCGGGAGCAATCGTCCAGCAGGGGCGGGAACTGGCCAGCGGCGCGCGCCGTCAAGAGGAGCGCGGGCCCCCTGCTACTTCCTCGGCCTCCTCCTCAACAAATTTCTCGTCCTGGGTCCTGGCTCTCTTTCTCTCTCTCTCTCTATCTCTCTCTCTCCCTCTGTCTCTGTCGTTCCCACCTCCCTCCATCGCTCTCTCTCTCTCTCTCGCTTCTCTCCCTCTCTCTTCATTCACTCGCTCACTCAATAACTCACTCACTTACTCGATGTGTGTTGTTCTCTCTCTCTCTCTCTCTCTCTCTCTCCCTGACTCTCTCACCCACGCTCTCTCGTTCACTCCTTCCCCATTTGTTTTGTATGTTGTTGTTTGTTTGTGTTCTCTCTCTCTTTCTAGCCATATGCACATGTACACTTATATACATACATTTGCACACATATGAATATATGTGAATATATCTAGACATTACGAGCCTTGAGTGTCCGTTTCCCGCTATGGCTCTAAACACTCCTGTCGGGCTCCGCTTTACCGACAGCGGAATGGAGTCTTGGATACCTATGGGGTGGCGCCTGTGGAGCAAGAACTTCTCACATCCCTTAACGATGTCACTTCGCTCACCCAGACGAGCCGCTGACACGCTTCCTTACGCTTGTTAAAACCATGATGATTGACCAATCTCGTTGTCGCACCTCCCTGTGGTTAATGGTGCAGCGGATGACGACGAGGACGAGGAGTTGGAGCAGCAGCAGGATGGAGGAGGATAGGAGGAGAGACGTAGGAGGGAGGATGGGGGGAGGGTAGGAGAGAGAAAGAGGGAGGGAGGAAGGAAGGGGGGGGAGGGAGGGAGAAGGGGGAAGAGCAGCATGATAATCACGAAGGGAATGAAGGAAGACGGGACGTGGGAGGACGAATGAAGAGTAGAAAGGGGTAAGCCAATCTCAAGAGAATCGAGAAGGGGATGAGGGGGGTGGGAGATACATTATGAGAGGACGCGGGAATGAGGACCATGAGTGAGGAGGAGGATGAGGCATGACGACGAGGAGGAGGAGGAGGAGGAGGAGGAGGAGGAGGAGGGGACGAGGCAGAGGACGATGAGGAGGAGGATGGGGGAGCAGTAGCAGCGAACGAACGCCAGTCAGAAGCTGGAAGGTAAACGACGACGGCCCGGGCTTTTGGCAGAAGCCACTTCACACGCCAGAGCGATCCTGGGCGAGGGGGTAACCCTTAGTGCGCGCGGGCAGGCCCAATCGGGCACACTCTAACATGAAGTCGGGCGTGTCCCGCTATAGGAGGGATGTCCGAAACTCGTCAGAGAATAGTCTGGGGGACGTTCTGCCCACTATGTTTGACTTGTTTGGAACACGCTTGCCCAATGTTTTATTCCTCGCCCCAAATCCACCTGCAGGAGGACACGCCCGACCTACAGTCGGGGCGTTGACCTAAGGAACCTTAAATGAGGAACGAGGCCCCTATTTCCCATAAGTTAAACTTCGATTTCGTATCGAAAACCTAAGGAACATCGAAGGCGAACTGTGAAACAATCAAGGAACACCGAGCCCCTCCCCGACGAAAAGGGTCTCTTCTTCAGCGCCCCGACTGTAACTCTGGATGATCCGGCGCGCGGGCGCCAGCTCCACGCCTCGGGGAAGGCCCCCCCCCCCCCGAATCATGAGGCCGGGGCCGCCCCCGCCCTCGCCGCCGAGCGCGCGCAGGAAATTCTGCACGGCAGCGGGGCCGTCGCCACTCGCTTTGCGGATGCCACGACAGTGCACGCCCTAACAGTCCGATCCTTGAAGTTTAAAAATGTGTTTAAAATCTACACCCTGCGAAATGCTTGAGAAATCATGGGTTAAGAAATTCATAGTCTCAGAATTTGAATAAAAAACCAACATGTCCATTCAAATCTTAGGATCTACATTGAAACGTTAAGAATAATCGAAACTCTGGCCGAATTCTTAAGTTTTCTTAAGCATCGCCTAAGGTGTATCCTTGAATTTAAAACATGTGTTTAAAATCTAGGAAACAATCGTCTGGCCATGTTTCCGACATGTGCTTTGCATGCTTGAAACATGTCTAGCACACGTTTTAGACATCTGGCAATTGTTGGGCAACATGCTTCCACTCCATTGATCGTCCTCCACAACGTTAATCCACGCGCCTGGGCCCTCGCCTGTACCTCCATGATCCGAGCGCGAACCGCGGAAGAAGCAACACCATAAACATACAACTCTTGGCGGCTCTTCTTCTTCTTCTTCTTCGAGCGAAGGCCCGCTCCCGAGGTCACCGACGTCGGCGAGGCATCGGCGACGCCCGCGCGAAGAAGCTTGGGCTCCGCATCGCGCCGCCTCAGCGATGCGTCGGCGCTGCCGCTCGATCCTCCCACCCCATCTGCTCCGACCCCATCCGGGAGGCCCAGAATGAAGGGGCCCCGGGACACACAAATAAATACACACAAATAAAATGATTCCCCATATTTTCACCTATTTTCTCGGTTTTTGTCTTCCCGCCCAATTCCCATATTTTCCCATCTTTTCCTGGGAGTCGACGATTCGTTCTGTCTGTGTGTTTCTTTCCCTCCCGATAGAACTCCCTTTGTCCGAGCGCGCAAGCCCGCGGCCGAGGGGGGGGGACCCCCTTTGCCTCCTGCCGGGCTCGCGCCGGGAACCGCGGGCACCGCTCCGGCGGAGGGCCCCCGCTCTCACGCGTGGCCGGCGCGCGGCCGCATCTCGCGCCCATTTGATCAGCGAGCGAAGAACGGTATAAAATAAACTTTTTCGCCGTCGGGGGCACCTGCCCCTGGGCGGCTGGAGAGTTTGCACCCCTACGGTGCCACCGTAGGGGTATAAACTTTCCAGCCGCCCTGGGGCAGGTGTCCCCGACGGCGAATAAGTTGATTTTATACCGTTCTTCGCCCCTCGATTTGAGCAGGGACAGCCCGTCCCCAAATTCCGATAGGACTACCACGACATGCTCTTGGAACCCAAATCTGTTTTTTATATAACAAAAAACAATGTGCTCAGAGCATAAGCCCGATGTGTTAAAGCACGACAGCCCCAGCTGTAAATGATCTAAGAGCATCCCGCGCAGACCACAGAAGGCTCTTGGAACACTTTCTGGGTGGGCCTGTAGGCCAGCCAGGACGCTTCGCCACTGCTCGAAAGCTGAGCGCGGGCTGCTGAAACCGCGGCTGCCAAAACGGCCCTCCTTGCAGGAAAAAACAGCTTTTCCCGGAAGGAGGCGCGGCACGCGAAGCAGTCCACGGGCTTCTTCCCGGAAGGACGAAGACTGACGGGGCCCTGGGACACACAAATAAATACACACACATAAAAACATGTTCCCCATATCTTCTGGGCTTCTGTCTTCCCCCCCCACTTCCCATATCTTCCCAGATTTTCTGGGGACTCGAAGATGAATTGTGTCTGTGTGTTCTTTCCCTCCTGAGAAGACAACTTCCCCGAGGTCGCTTTGAGCAGCCTCGATTCAGCAGCCCCTGCCCAGCCTCCGAGCTGCTCGATCGCATGACCGCGGGCGTGGCGCGCCGCGGGGCACCGCCGCGGGGAGCAGCGCGCAGCTCCGCCGCCGTGCCGGCGACGCCCCGGGGCCTGCGCACAGGCTTCAATCGGGCCTGTCCCTCTACAGGGGGAAGATTCAGAAGCAGTATAAACACATAGTCTGGGGACGATTTTTTAAACATATGTGTTGACTATGTTGGGGTATTGTTTGGCTATTTTTCAGTTTTCGTCGAAAATCCCCCTGCAGGGGGACACGCCCGACTTAAGCTTATGTCGGGCCTGTCCCTCTACAGGGGGAAGATTCAAAAGCAGTATAAACAAATAGTCTGGGGACGACTTTTTAAAACATATGTTTTGACTATTTGGGGGTATTGTTTGGCTATTTTTTATGTTTCGTCGAAAATCCCCCTGTAGGGGGACACGCCCGACTTAAGCTTACGTCGGGCCCGTCCCTCTACAGGGGGAAGATTCAAAAGCAGTATAAACAAGTAGTCTGGGGACGACTTTTTAAAACATATGTTCTGACTATTTGGGGGTATTGTTTGGCTATTATTTATTTTTCGTCGAAAATCCCCCTGTAGGGGGACACGCCCGTCTTAAGCATAGGCGCCGCCGACGCGGGCCTCCTGCGCCGGCCGCCGCATCCCGAGGGGCCGCTGGCGGCGGTGCCTCGTGCGCCCGCCGCCCGCCGCCCGCGCCTCGTGGCGCCTGCTCGCTGCTGCCCAGGCCGCCCTCCTGCTCCTCCTGCTCCTCCTCCTCCTCCTCCTCCTCCTCCTCCTCCTCCTCCTCCTCCTCGTCCTCCTCCTCCTCCTCCTCCTCCGCCTCCTCCTCCTCCTCCTCCCGCCTCCTCGCCTCTCCTCCTCCTCCTCTCCTCCTCCTGCTCCTCCTCCCCCTCCTGCTCCGCCTCCTCCTCCTCCTCCTCTTCCTCCTCCTCCTCCTCCTCCTCATCCGCCTCTCCTCCTCCGCTGCTCCTCCCCTCCTCCTCCTCCTCCGCCTCCGCTCCTCCTCCTCTCCTCCTGCTCCTCCTCCGCCTCCTCCTCCGCCTCCTCCTCCCCGCCTCCTGCTCCCTCCTCCCCCTCCTCCTCCTCCTCCTCCTCCTCTCCTCTCTCCTCCTCCTCCTCCTCCTCCTCCTCCTCCTCCTCCTCCTCCTCCTCCTCCTCCTCCTCCTCCTCCTCCTCCTCCTCCTCCTCCTCCTCCTCCTCCTCCTCCTCCTCCTCCTCCTCCTCCTCCCCCTCCTCCTTCGCCTCGCACGTGGCCGAGGGCGAACACGTCCACGTCGCTCCGCGCCGCGCGCCCGACGCGTGCGCCCTCGCAAGCTGCACCTAGGACCTGGGTGAGCGGTGCAGGAGACTGCGCCACCTCTAAGGATAAGAGAGAGAGAGAGAGAAGATTGGCATCGGCAGGGAAGGACAGACTGGAGACTGTGGGGAGAAAGACTCCTCCTGCTCCTCCTCCTCCTCCTCCTCCTCCTCCTCCTCCTCCTCCTTCCTCTCCTCCTCCTCCTCCTCCTCCTCCTCCTCCTCCTCCTCCTCCTTCCAGGCTCGCCGTTCTGCTTCCCTCGGGGCGGCCAGAGGCCTGGGCCAAACCCGGCCTGCTTTCGCTCCCAGGCAGTACGCCAGGCACAGCGACCAGCCAGGCGACCCAACAGCCACGGCACGACCTCGGGAGCAGCGATAGGGGAACAAGAAGTGACATTAAGCATAAAAACTCGGAGGTCTGCGCGGATTTCTCGGATCGGCGCTGGACCCCCCTCCCTGGCGCGCGGAGCGCGCCAGGGAGGGGGCCGGAGGGGGGCGCCGCCGGGGGGCCCCAGCGCCGATCCGAGAAACCCGCGCGGACCTCCGAGTTTTTTATTTTTTTTTTGTGTGTGTGTGTGTGTGTGTGTGTGTCACTTCTTGTTCCCCTAAGCCAGCCCCTTCCGAACCCCAGGCGGTCCTTGCTCGAGCGTCCTGGCCGCCAGACCGACCAGCCATAACTGGGGGAGCTGTGGTCCTTACCCCCTGGGGGAACCCATCGCATCGACGATCTCTCGAGAGAGGTGTCGAAATCGATGGGTCCCCCAGGGGGGTAAGGACCACAGCTCCCCCAGTTGTGGCTGGCCTGCCAGAGGCCCGAATCTTGCCGCCGTCGGCGACATCGGGGTCCTCTTTCCTCGGTGGAGGCCACCGCCGACGGTTCCGGGTGCGGGTGCCGGCCGCCGGGCCCCTCCACGCCACGCGCGGCGGAGGCCTCGGGGGCGCGCAGACAGGGCTCAGCGATCCACGGATTCGGCGCGGCGTCGCCGACTCCATGGCTCGGGGGAGGCGCCCTCCCCAGGATGCGGCCGCTGCCGCCGCCGCGATCTTCCCATGGAAGCGGGACCCGTCGCGAATCCACGCCGACCAGCCACAACTGGGGGAGCTGTGGTCCTCACCCCCCTGGGGGAACCCCTCGCGTCGACGATCTCTCGAGAGGGGTGTCGAAATCGATGGGTCCCCCAGGGGGGTAAAGACCGCAGCTCCCCCAATTGTGGCTGGCCTGCCACGCCCCTTTGATCCATGTTTGCGATCGCCGGATTCACGCCCCGACTACGAAGTAAAGCGGACCAGAGAGCCGGCGGCGGGGCCGCCTGCATGGACTGCGGCGGCGACGACCTCGCGAAGCCCGTGCCGTCGGCCTCCTGGCGGGCTCGAGGGGGGACGCAGCGGCCCGTGCCGGGGGGGAGGCCTCGGGCCAGAACCGAGGCCTCCAGGGGGCCTCCTCGTCCCCCTCGTCGCCCTCCACCCACCTGACTTATCCTTAGCCTCCCTCCATCCCCCTCCTCCGCCTTCGCCTTCGCCTCCGCCTCCGCCTCCGTCTCCGCCTCCGCCTCCGCCTCCTCCTCCTCCTCCTCCTCCTCCTCATCCTCCTCCTCCTCCTCCTCCTCCTCCTCCTCTTCCACCTCCTCACCATCTACCTCCTCCTACTCTGCCTCCTCGTCCTCCTCCATCCGCTTTCCTTCTGAATGATTCCTCCCGTTCGCACCAACAGGCGTGTCGGCAGGGCGGGGCAGGCGTTTCGCTTGAGACTTCCTTGCAGTTTCTGATCGTGAAGCCTCATATGTGCAATGCTCTCACGGATGGAGGGGATCGTTTCCCACATGTGGCGCTCGCCTTGGCGCCGCGCGCATTCGTCATGCATATTGCCACTGATTCACCGATGGAACAAAATTATTTTCAAAAGCTGGCGCTCGCCCTAGCGCCGTGCGCACTCCACTTCAAAGTTTGCAGCTGTGTCAAGGATCGAGGGCGGCTCATTTTCAAAATTTGGCCCCTTGAGATTACGCCACGCATTTTTAAGCTGTGACTATCACCTTCGTGTCGCGCACAGTCGTTTACATCTGCCCAGCGGTTTCGCGGATGCGGGAGCGGTTTCTGTCCAACATGTGGCGCTCGCCTTATCGCCGCGCGCATTCGTCTTAGACGTGTGCAGCATTTGTCACGCACGCAAGTGGTGTCGGTTTCTGGCTTGTGCTCTCGCGTTAAGGCCGCGTTTCCTTCAAACATCCGCACTACTTAGCTTCACGTTCTGAGGGCGGCACCTCTCCAAACTGGGGCTCTCGCCTCAGCGCCGCGCGCATTCGTCTGTTTTAGGGCATCGTTTATCATGATGGAAAACTGCTCACGCTCGAAATTAGGTTCTCGCCTGTGACTTCCTGACGTAGAAGGACCTGACCTTCCATGGCAACGCAAGTAGCGGTACACGGATCCATGGGTGGCCCTTTCCACAATTGAGTTGTCGCTTGAGACTTCCTCGACTTTCATGACCTTAAAGTAAGCTTGTGAAACAGTTACACGGGTGGGAAGGGGCAATTCTGTTTTGAGGGGGGTATCGCGGAACACCCCGTTGAACTGCACGGCTATTATTATTATGTTGTTTCGCATTGCCAGCTACGCGCCGGAAGCTGTGGAGAAGAATGTGGACACGTTCGGTTAGCGCGAAAACGCTTGACCCAGAAATGGAAAAATGGAAGACTGGAAAAATGGAAAAGCCATTCAATGAGTCGGACAAGTGGAAATGCATAAGAGACGTGGAAAAGCGGAAAAGTGGAAAAGTGCGAAAACAATTGGAAAAGTGGACAAGCGGAAAAGTGGACAAGTGGAAAAGTGCGGCGACAATTGGAAAAGTGGAAAAGTGGAAAACGCGAGGAAAAACAGAAAAGTGGACAAGTGGAAAGTTGAAGCACTCTCCACCTTTCCACTCTTCTACTTTTCCGCTTTTCCACTTTTCCAGATATTTTTCCAGTCAATTCTCCATCTGCCCTCCGCCCACTCCTCCTCCTCCTCCTCCTCCTCCTCCTCCTCCTCCTCCTCCTCCTCCTCCTCCCTCGTCCCACTCCCCTTCGCTGTTCCACAAGAGAAGGTTTATGCTTCCTGTTACCGCTTCGCCTCAAGATCCGGCTCAGCTTTCCAACCCGCGCGCCAAAACCTTGATGTACTTCAACCAACCTTTTTGCCCCCAAGAGGTTGGTTGAAATACCCCCCCATATTGGCCCCTTCCTCCTCCACCTCCTCTTCAGATTCCCCCCCTCCTCGCACTCGTACCCCCCACTGCACCTGCCCTCCTCCCCCTCCTGCTCCTCCTCGTCCTCCCTCCACTCGAACGGCAGGTCCGGGAGCCCCTTTTCACTCTGCCATGCTGCCGCCACTCGCGGGCCCAAGGCCTAGCTAGCGCCCGCGCCCGTGTACTGTCCGCGTGCCTGGATTATTCTTTACAGCTGAACAACAATTATTCTTTACAGCTGAAAATTAATTTTCATTTTCACCAATAACACCACTACAAAAGAAAATGTTAGAAAATGTTCATTTTCATTTGTTGTTGAACAATTCTTCAGCAATAACACCACCAGCAACAAGAACAACAATAACACTAAGAGCTGGCGGCAACCAGCGGGGGGGAGCATTCCCACGTGGCAGGTCAGCGCTGGCCTGGACCCCCAGACCTCCCCGCACGGCACGCGCCTGGCCCCCGAGGTCCCCCGCCTGGACGAGGAGGGGGAAGGATGGGGTCAGGTCGGGCATGCCCTCCCACAGGCGGACGTGAGAGGAAGCATAACAAAGATTCAATCAAGTATAAAATATGTAATAAAAATCGTCCCCAGCCGATTTTTGGACTGTTCTGGAATCTTCCTCCTGTAGAGGGACTTGCCCGACGTAGCGATAATTAGGGGGGGACTGGCTCGTGTGGGGGGGTAGGATCGACCTGGAACCGGCGATCCCTCGCCGATGGATCGGCGAGAAGCTCTCTCGATCGCGAGGCCGCGCGCGTCCCTGGGCGCGTGGAGCCGTCGGGCCCCCACCAGCGACGAAGGGGCGATGGGGGGCCGATGCGCTCCAATATCCCCCCCCACCCTTGAGCAGGGACCGACCGCCCCGGCATTCCTATAGTCCTACCACGACATGTTCTTCGAACCCAAAGAGGTTCTAAGAACAACAACCATGCACTTAGGACACAAGCCCGAGGTGTGAAAACAAGACAGGCTCCGCCAGACATGTTCTAAGAGCATTTCGTGGAAGCCACAGACGGTTCTTAGAACATTGTTGGGTAGGGCTATGGGCGAGCCAGGACGCTTCGCCACTGCTTGACACCCAAGCTTGCCCCCTGCTTGTCGCTCGGGTCAGAACTCGGCTCCCCGGTGGCCGTTCGGGACAACCGGGCAACCCTTGGAGCGCTCGGGGCGAGGCGCAGCTGCTGCACTCTGGGGCGAAGATCTGTGCAACGTTTACTTTTCCGTCACCTGGGGCGCCTGTCCCAGGGTCAGCTCGGGCGTGTCCTCCGACAGGCGGATGTTGGACGAAAAATACAAAGTCCGCCGATCCGGCGTGTGAGTTTCTGAGAGCGTGGGCTTGAGCTCGCTCAAGCTTCGCTCTGCCAGGGGAGGGGGACCTCATCCGACCTCATCCGGCCTCATCCGACGCATTCAGTGCTCGGCACCCTCCGCCTCGACGCCGGCCTCCCCCCCCCCGCTGGCCCCCCCCCCCCCGCAGGCACCCCCGCCCGGTGCCCGCACCTGTGCTCGGCACCCC